ACCGCTGCGGCTGGACGCTAAAGCCACCCCGGCAGCAAGGGCAGRAGCAGCGAGGGCGGCCTCTCCTCCTGCCAGGTGGCCCGAGGCCCCGCTTGCTGCCACGMGTCACGGTGCCCGCCTCACCCGCGGCCGAAGCACTGGGCTCCTTCCAAGGAGTCTCCCAGGCAGAAGGGGGCGCGCGGTCGAACACCATCCTCACGGCCTCGCTGTGGGGAAGGCCTCCCTCACCCCAAGCTCCCAAGCCCCTGCAGCCTCCACAGAAGGCCTGTGGGGACGGATCACTCCATTTTCTCAGCTTCCCCTGCCTAGGTGTGAGGGGAGGCTGCCCTGTGATCATCTTAGGGGAGGATGACAGCAGGAAGGAGGGGAAAGAAAGGAAAATTAGTCACTCGTTTTACAAGCTGCTTCAGCTTGGTTTGCTGCATGCCTAAAATAGAAAATCTACTGACCTATGAGTTATTTAAACATGAGCATAATACCCAGAGACACRAGGCAGCACTTGCAGGTTTTATCTGATTGATGCCTCTCTGATCCTAGCAAGTCCTCAGGTGACCCAGGTGCTGCTGTCCAGGCAGGACTTCTGCTGCCACTGCCTGCTCACCCCCTTTATTGTCCTCACCACCACTCCTGGGTGCCAAAGGAGGACTTGGCACCAGCTAATATTCTGAGGCACAAGGGGAAAGCCTCAACCAGAAGCACAAGCAGGAGTAACAGGAGCCAGGAGCTTGCTTCCTTTTAATAAACATGACATCAATCTCRATATATCTTATACTGGTGGCCCCCTTCATAGCTTCCTGCAAAGCAGTCTCAGCCATTCGGTGGGGCTGGGGACTGCCTCCTTGAAACAGTCCTTGGAGCACACGCTGTGTGCTGGGACTGCCAAGGAACAGCAGAGAGAGCTGCCCTCGAGTAGAAGGTAGCAACAATTTCTTCCCTTCTCGACTCCCTCCTTCAGATTAATCATTGCCAAGCAGCTATAACCATTATTGCTCTGTTCTACCTTTTGGTCCTCATTAACATGGTGAGCACATACACCCCATCAATGCCAAAAAMCATGTGTGGAAAAAAATAAAAAGTGCCAATAGGCAGAGACAGCATCCTTAATGTAAAGGACCTACTAAAGCCCTTAAATCTTAAGAAAATAGATGCCTCTACTGGTCTCAAAATCTGATTTAATTTCGAGCTGACTGTCTGTACAATAGTGARCTTTATAGCACTTATTCCCCTCAACATTCTCACAACTCTGGCAGCTCCTTAAGGTCCTTATTGGTAGCTCAAAGCGCCAAACTAGAGACAACCTTGACAGTGGATTGTGAGAGACGTTGTCAAATTCTGCTCCTACTTTAACACCTCAGAAGCATACACTACCACAGCTATCAATTTGAATATTGTTATGGTTCCCAACTATGCACTCAGGCTAGAGTAATGGAGAGCCTGAAAAGCCAAATATTCAAAGTACAATAAAAAGATGGCATAAGGTAGTTCAGTCTTTAGCCAGTCAGGCCAATATTTTGAAACACGATCTCTGTAAGGGACCACAATTTGTCAGCTCTAGAAATGTAGCATATAACAAACATTATAGAAAGATGCTCTAATGAGGAATATACACATGAACATTCACAGATAAAGAGCATACCCAGTTTTTCTGAAGGAGCACAAACTTTTTGCACTCTTTCTTTTAGACGCAGCAAAGTTGCAGGTTATTATACCTTTCCCTTCTCTCCCTCACTCCCACACTGCTGAATCCAGTAGTGCCTTTAGAGGCTTTGTCTGAGTAATCTCCATCACCATCACTGATAGTAGCATCAATATAGGAGGTGAGATGGCCAGTGCTAATGACTCTTTGAATGCATTAGTTATTTATGAGTAGCTGCTATTCTGCATCACTTCGATACTCTTGGTTGGGTGACATGCACCATCATGTAGAATTGCCTCCATACTATCTAGCAGAGATGCACAACTGACCTTCTTCAAGAGGAATTAGCAACACATACACATTCTCCCCAGGGCATCACCTGTAATGAAATGCCTACAGTCCTTCAGTGACAGAGAAGCCAGCAAGCCATGTTTGTCCCCTCACCACTGACCCTTTGGCTACAGGAATACCCTTTGCAAGACTTTCTCCAGACACATCCGGTCATAGCAGGACAATTTGAAAGAACTGGGAGAAGTGTTTTTCCAATGCTGAGAATGTTTTCCCAGGGGAAAACCTGCTTCTGAACAACCTAAATGTAAGTTTAGAAGGAGATTCCCATGCCTTCACCTCCCACGCTGTCCTAAGGCAGTCAGCCTCCCTCACCCTTTACACGAGTTTCTATGCTGAAGGGAGCAACCGTAGGCTTCTTCTSTTTTGCAGAGGACTAAACACCACTTGCTGCCCACAATTTCCATGACAACTGCAAATGCTCAACGCATCTTCAGTTTTGGTTGGTGTTTGTCTCTTGAGCTAATGCCAAGCTAACTCGAGCAGCAAGATTATCATGCAAAGGCATGTGGTCCATTAAAAATACAAGTCACGTAGAGTTGCAGGGTGATGTCACATCAGCTGCCCCCGCTGATAACTATCAAAAGTTAGCACAAGCCTCCAAATCACAAATGCCCTGGCTCCAATCCCATTTTAATGAAACTGCTTTTATGATTAAACCATCGCTATAATTGGCACCGGACGAGCGTTGGCAGTCTGCTGTGGTCGCCTTCCCTGCAAAGCCTGTTTGCGATGCTCATCTCCGAATGATGCGTACTGTCTGCTTCCCTCCTATTAAAAAAAAAAAATGGTACGAACAGCGGCTGGCAGGCAGAGTGGTCAGCAGTGATTCAGTCCCTGGCAGTCATGATGAGCAGCATGGGCTGAATTCTGCCTTGGTGGAGATGGGTGTTTCTCCATGTCCTTTCACGGCACCGTGTCTGCGCTACATCAGGTATGAGGTTGGCCTTCTATGCTTTAAATAAGCAGGGTAGATGCCTTTTATGTGCTGGCAGCTTTTAGAAACCGTTATGCTCTAGTTTGGGGAACAGCTTGTTAGTGCGGTTGGAATTGCACTGCACTCTGTAGGAAGAGAGTGGGGAGCAGGCGGGGAAGGGGGAGAGACAGGGAATGATGCATCTTGTGTGCTTAAATAGCTGGATTGCCAGAGCAAAACAGGCAGTGGCAGAAAYGCGCTGATGCCTAGGAGCTGGGAGAGGAATTTACACACTTTACATTTTCTAATTTCCCTCTGGATAAGAATCACAGAGTTTATCTAGCTTTTTAGGCTGCGGAAAAGGGGTGTGTATGCATATCGGTTTCTGAAGGCACTACACGGCATGTGCCTGTTTAATGAAATCAGTCTTTCCTCTGCACTCTAAGAACAAATAGTATATTTAAAAAAATAATAAGCTTGCTTTGAGTATTATAGCACATGGTGCTAAGCGGGGGGCGGGGGGAGCAAATTTATCAGTTTATCAAGTAGATCAGAAGTTAGCACAAGGCAAATGAATTTTTCTCCCCGGTTTAAACAAAGGCAGGAGGCAGAAAAAGAAAGGARGGTGGAATCTTCAAGGTTTCTCTCCTTCTGTTTGGTTGTCCCCCTCCCTTTCACCAATATTGATATTGCTGTGCTTTTTGATCTCTGCACTTCTTTGTTTTGGCTTCACAGGTATCAAGGGAAAATGGCTAGCAGTGAGTTCTGTAGCTTTTCCTGCTCTGCAGCCCCTCTGGCTTAGCCAGCTGGATCACACTGAATTAGTCAAGTACTTCATTATCTCCCTTCTCTGCACATTTTGCTCCAGGTAATAAAATGCCCAAACAAGAGAGCCAATGCCTTCTGCCGCGCTGTCTGTGAAGTTTCGTTGTTTTGGCCAATTCTGCATATCAGCTTTGTGCTAGGGGAGGGCATCACTTCTCATCCCTCGCCCGCAGTGCTTCCCAATCTCCATTTAGTCACAGCAGTTAGCTAACCATGTAGCTGTTGATAACATAGCGCAGTTTTGGAGCCCCCCAGCCCTTGGGAGGTCTGGGATTTCTCCTTGCACCGCAGGCCTGCAGGAGGAGAGGGGACTAGCTGGGAGAGACAGACCAATTACACTGCTGGGATGGATGCAGCACTATGCGAGCAGTGCTCTTATTAGCAGACGGTGGGATAGAAGTTGTGCAGTGGGGCATTTTCTGCAGCAGGGAGCTACTAACCAGATATCTAGGTCAGGTAGGCATGAAGCTGAAAACAGAGGATTTTGCTTTGCACCCCTTTTTTTTTGTAAGGTGCAGTTCTGCCATCAGGGAGGAAGAGATTTCATCATTATTATTAGTGGTGGTTTTATTTCTTTCCCTTAGATAAAGTGTCATTTTTTCACAGGCGTTCAGCGGGATGAACATTTAATAGCTTCTTTTTAAAAGTATTTATATGCATTGTGCCCTCCCCCTACCTCCCTGTTTCTCTCTCCCCCCTAAGATGACCTTTCCTTAAAGCCATAAACTACCTTGAGGCAATCTCTGGCAGCTCTGTCATGTGATGGGCAAAACGGGCCGTATTTACGTCACATGGAAAAAAATAAGAATGAATCTAGTTCAGTTCTTCAGTATTTAATCTTGGCCAGAATGGGCAGGGCTGAAAAATAYGTAAAATGTTTTCTGTTTGGGGGGCAGGAATGTGGAAAATACATTCCAGAAAAGAAATCTGCCCTGCACCAAAATTTAATTTGTAGAAAATCAGTTTCCTTTGTGTGAATCAGAAACAAAAATGTCTGAAAAATGAGAGCAGATACAGCAGATTTCCTAGTCACCTTTCCCCTCGTCCATGTTCCATAAAGTTTCTTGAATTTCCAGCTTGTGATGTTCAGCCTACGGGAACACAGGGAAGGAGGAAATATCTGAGCCAAACTCCACACTATGAAATACTGTGTTAAAGAAATTCAAATTCAGAAAACTGAAAGCAGAAAAAAAAAAAGCTATATGTGCATATTATCAAGTTTGATTCAAAGACAACTGAAGTCAACAGCTGACTTCTATAGATTTTAGTGATCTTTGGATCAGTCCCTAATGACAGAGATGGATTTCCTCATGACAACGGTCCAGACTGCAGCATTTAGATAAAAATATTAACTGCAAAATACTGCTAAATTAATCCAACTTCTTTTGATTATTGATGTCCTACTGTTTGCTGCCTGAAACAATATACACGATGCATCAGTCATTTATAAATTATTCATTCACAGTTATTTTGGCAGCAGCTTCTTTCCATTTATCAACTGATAAACGTACAGGAGATAAAGGTAATTTTATAGCCCCTTGACATTTACCTTTGACATTATTTCCATATTAATAAAATACTAATAACATTTTTAGGATTGCAAAGTCCATATTATAAAGCTTTACAACAACCTCTGGATCCCTATAGCATAAGCAAGATGATTGGAGTACATACATACTCTCGTCCACACACAAATCCCTCCGAGTTCATTTCCCAATTCTGCATTCAGCAGCTCTGAAATGTCCCTGTTGTGCCACCAAATTGCAGAACCTTTTCACAGCTGTATGGGAAAGATGATGGTTGACTTCAGAGGCTTGGATGACGTCCAAGGAGCCACAGCTCTCCGAGCTGCTGAAACCATGAGACATAGCCAGGTCAAGAATTTACTACTGCTTGGACCAATTTCTAGAAATCTCATCCATATTCCCATCTGCTCAGCTCTTTGGCATTTGAGATCTTTAGGCAGTATGGTCACGATAGTAATTTCACTGAGTTTATAGGATTATTGGTTACACGCTCTGGGGGKTAAAGGTGAGGAAAATCAGGCAGCATATTTTCAAAGTACACATCTGCCTCAAAGTACACGTGCTTTTCCATGCACTTGTCAGGCTTGTGACCCACCATGCTGCAGTACGATAGCACCTTACGTACCGCTGACACAAACACCCACAACTGTAAGGCACTGCAATTAAGCACATGGAAAAAGACGTCCACACTGACAAAAAAAAATAACAACAAAAACACAGAACCTTAAAAGGACATTTGTACTATTTTTCTKCCTCTCAACTAGGAGAGGTTCAAAAAAAAGACTTGATACCCACCCACCCCCCTCCACACATACGCACAAGAAGAGAGAAAATTCATGCTATTTTAAAACAGCAGAACAGGAATAAATTATAGCAACACTATTAACTCCAAAGTCCACAGACACTACCAAATTCTCCACATCTGATAAAGTACCTGGAGATCACTGTGAAATTCATACACCTCTTCTACAAGTCCTATAAGTACAGCACATTATACATCTAGAAGTAATTACAGAACAGCCAATTAACTGTTGACTTACTCTTGTCCTGTAATCCTAGACAGTATTCTTTGAGGAGTTGTACTTCCAGGAGTAATATTGTAGAAGAGATATTAGCCACTGCTACCTGCACATACTTCAGTAGATTCCACTGCTATTCATCTGCAACACATGAAGCTCTTTTTAATATTTAAGAGAACACAAATATTGTATGCTGACTGCCCATCAGGATGTTAAAGCATCACTTTGCTAACACTTTCTGTTATCTGTCTAGGAAGASGGAAAATTCTCTGTTCTTTCCAGCTTCCCCAGCTGGGAAAATTAAACAGAGATTAAATCAACTGAGCCAGATTTCAGGGGGAATCATCTGAAAGGAAACCAGCATGAAGCTCTGGCATTGCAGGATCACAGTGTCCCATGCTCACTCTACCTGTGCTCATTTTAACCATTCTGTGTCAGGAAGATGAATGTTGCTTGAGCACCCGAGTGTTGCGTGGAGGGGTAATTAAGTGGTCATCCCTCCTGGACCACTTCCCCCACCACCAGGTGGTTTTCTCCACACTGTCCTTGAACAGCTAAGCTGAGAAGTCTCATCTTGCTTAATGGATGTTAGAGTATGAAGGGTCAATTAGAAGCTGAGGTACTTTTTTTCCTTTTTTTTTTTCTTTCTAAATAAGTGCCAACAGATTAATGTATTCTGCACACAGGAAAACAAACAGTTAAAAAAACAGTTAAAAAAAAGTCTCACTCTCAAATCCCAGAGACACATAGAGCCTTCACATTCCCAGCTATGACAGAGGAAGACAGGAGAGTAAAGGTGATGAGAAATATTTTCTGTCATCAAGTTGTTATATATATATATATATATATATATAAAATTACTCTTATTTATACTGAACAAAATACTAACATGAGGCAAAGCTCCAGAGATTGGAGTTAAGTAGTACAGGCTATCCAAACTCAAATTCTTACTCGAAGTTAAAGATGGGGAGATTTATTATTACAATTTTTGTGCTAGCAAAAGCTRCTAGATTGACAGCTCTAAAGGCAAAGGCCTCATGTTTCCCCAAGGATAAGGGAAAGCCAGCAGTGCAGTTTTTTTTTTTTTTTTTTTTTTTTTTTTTGGAAGAGGAACAGTAAGAAACTCAAGTCTATAAACAGAGATTCCTTTGCAGACCAGGAGGCAGCACACAAGGATTCACCACCTGGATCATCAGCCAGGAGACCCAAAGGTTACAAAGATCCCCTATA